CGTATAGTGTGTCACTTTTTTTTAGCATGTGCTAAATATAATAACAGGGAGATTAAGCATATTTAGTAAATGATTAACTATTTCTGCTGTCTTAAATTTTATTATTCTGTAATTTGGTTATTGAATTCATTTTCGCTTATACTCAAATATTTATGTTATAGTTGATTTGTATTTTTAGGTTATCTCCTGGACCTAAATGAACACAAACTGGAAATTATGGAGACACTAACTGATGATTCATCTTATGAAGAAAATTCTACTAGTCAACACTCTGAAGGAAAAATATTAAATAAAAATGTGGAAGTTGTGACTGAACAAAAACCTTACAAGTGTGACATTTGTTTTAAACAATTTACCTAGCAAGTAATTTGAAAAGACATTTGAGAGAGCACACTGGAGACAAACCTTACAAGTGTGAAATTTGTTTTAAGCAATTTAGGCTGGCAAGTTATTTGAAAGCACATTTGAGAGTGCACTCTGGAGAGAAATCTGACAAGTGTGAAATTTGTTTTAAGAAGTTTAGTAATGCAAGAAATTTGAAAATACATTCGAGGGTGCACACTGGAGAAAAATCTTACAAGTGTAAAATTTGTTTAAAGCAATTTAGTTATGCAAGTAGCTTGAAAGCACATTCGTGGGTGCATACTGGAGAGAAATCTGACAAGTGTGAAATTTGTTTTAAGCAATTTAGTCATGCACGTTATTTGAAGGCACATTTGAGAGTGCACACTAAAGAAAAACCTTACAAGTGTGAAATTTGTTTTAAGAAGTTTAGTAATGCAAGTAGTTTGAAAGCACATTCGAGGGTGCATACTGGAGGGAAATGTACAAGTGTGAAATTTGTTTTAAGCAATTTAGTCATGCACGTTATTTGAAATCACATTTGAGAGTGCACACTGGAGAAAAACCTTACAAGTGTGAAATTTGTTTTAAACAATTTAGTCTAGTAAGTAATTTGAAAAGACATTTGAGAGTGCACACTAAAGAAAAACCTTACAAGTGTGAAATTTGTTTTAAGAAGTTTAGTGATGCAAGTAGTTTGAAAGCACATTCGAGGGTGCATACTGGAGGGGAATCTTACAAGTGTGAAATTTGTTTAAAGCAATTTAGTCATGCAAGTAGTTTGAAAGTACATTCGTGGGTGCATACTGGAGAGAAGTGTGACAAGTGTGAAATTTGTTTTAAGCAATTTAGTCATGCACGTTATCTGAAAGAACATTTGAGAGTGCACACTAGAGAAAAACCTTACAAGTGTGAAATTTGTTTAAAGCAATTTAGTCATGCAAGTAGTTTGAAAGCACATTCGAGGGTGCATACTGGAGAGAAATCTGACTACTGTGAAATTTGTTTTAAGAAGTTTAGTACTGCAAGAAATTTGAAAGTACATATGAGGGTGCACACTGGAGAAAAATCTTACAAGTGTGAAATTTGTTTTAAGCAATTTAGACAAGCCAGTAATTTGACAACACATTTGAGAGTTCACCATGAAGAAAAATTTTATAAGTGTGAAATTTGTTTTAAGCAATTTAGGCTGTCAAATTATTTGAAAGCTCACTTGAAAGCGCATACTGGAGAGAAATCTTACAAGTGTGAAATTTGTTTAAAGCAATTTAGTCATGCAAGTAATTTGAAAGCACATTCGTGGGTGCATACTGGAGAGAAATCTGACTACTGTGAAATTTGTTTTAAGAAGTTTAGTACTGCAAGAAATTTGAAAGTACATATGAGGGTGCACACTGGAGAAAAATCTTACAAGTGTGAAATTTGTTTAAAGCAATTTAGTCATGCAATTAGTTTGAAAGCACATTCGTGGGTGCATACTGGAGAGAAGTCTGACAAGTGTGAAATTTGTTTTAAGCAATTTAGTCATGCACGTTATCTGAAAGAACATTTGAGAGTGCACACTAGAGAAAAACCTTACAAGTGTGAAATTTGTTTTGGGAAGTTTAGTAATGCAAGTAGTTTGAAAGCACATTCGAAGGTGCATACTGGAGGGAAATCTTACAAGTGTGAAATTTGTTTTAGGCAATTTAGTTGTGCACGTTATTTGAAATCACATTTGAGAGTGCACACTGGAGAAAAACCTTACAAGTGTGAAATTTGTTTTAAGAAGTTTAGCCATCCATGTAATTTGAAAACACATTTGAGAGTACACACTGGAGAAAAACCTTACAAGTGTGAAATTTGCTTTAAGACATTTCATCAAGCCAGTAATTTGAAAAAACATTTGAGAGTACACACTGTAGAAAAATATTGAAAGTGTGAAATTTGTTTTAAGCAATTTAGTCGAGTTTTAATAAAAAAATAACGCAATGTACAAAACAACGTAACAAAATTAAGAATGAATTATATATAGCTAATACATATATTAACCTAATATATTATCTTAGAATAGTTTGATAATCTTGCAATATTTTTACTTGTTGAACTGTTCTTATTGAAATAAACTTTTTTAATGTGCAATGTACATTGTTTTTTACTCATGCCTAAAATTCCCACACTTTCACCTACCTATATGATATCTATACATGCATTTGTTGTGTTAGTACTGTTACGATAAATATGACTCATACCCTAAAATGTGAACATATTTTTCTAACAAGTATTTTTTAGTAGGGTCTCCTCCGCTAAAACCTCCTGGTGTCCATGACGTTCGAGAAGGTTCAGCAAGTGTCACCGGCCGAATTATAGGGAACTCCAAATAACGGCTATTAATTATATATATATATATATATATATATATATATATATATATATATATATATATATATATATATAGACTTTTTTTATTCTAAACAGTTAGTCTAAAAAGAATAATTGTATCGAGTCGAGTTTGAATTGTAACACGAAAAATACATGTAGTAAATAAATTATATAAATTAGAATAGTGCCATTGGAAAATAAATTAGTGTAAGATTATATATAAATTAAATAAATAAAGACTCTAATAAACTAAGTGTTAGAATATTTTATAATAAATAAAGTTAATAAATTAGATTTATAAAAATAGTTCAGTGGTGTCAGAGTGGAATATACTTTAAATACATTGTGAAAATGACTACGATTTATGAACTCACAGTTACGAATTTAAGACATCTCGAGTAAAGAGAATTAGCTTCTACCGGAAAAAAGGCTGATTTAGTCCAACGACTAAAGAATGCTTTGGAGGAAGAGGGTTTGGACCCGGAAACATATATTTGAAAACAAACATGCTGCTGTCATCTCGTCGATTTCGAAATTAGAAAAAGTTGTTGCCGATATGTTGGCCTTCGAAGTAAAGATGAAGAAGATGGAAAGGAAGATGGAGGAAGCAGAGAAAGGACAAAATTCAATTACAGTAGAGACAGAAGAAGACGAGACGAAATGTAAGTTGGAAACGGCAGAAATTCAAAGGAAGTCGTGGTTCTGTTCATGTTAAAGTCACAACTTTCGACGGAAAATCGTCATGGAACAATTACATGAAACAGTTCGAATGTTTCAAAACCTTCGCTGAGTCTTTGGCCTGTACCATAATATACTCTGTCTGATATTTTGGTGTATACTACTACTACATTTTTGGATAAAGTGAATATATTTTTTGGCATAGAAAAGTTTTTATTTCTTAGTTTATGACTATATTTTCTATTAAAAGCATACTTTTTGAATTTTGTCGCCTAAAATTCAGAGCATATTTTTTTAATTTACCGCCTAAAATTCAGAACCTAAGTTTATTATTTTTTCTACTCTCTTACTGGTAAATTGTATATTACATACTATTTGGATGCCAAGTAAATACATCAAAACGGATACTGACACGTAATAACTAGCATTTCTAATCACAGACCACTAATCTAATATTATATTATTTATCTAGCACGTAATAATAGTATATTACATAACGAGAGTTGTAAGAAGCTTATTACATGCGAGTAAAAAAGTTGCGCGCGAGCCGCGTAGCGGCGAGCGCAGTAATTTTACAAGCATGTAATAAGCTTACAACTCAAGTTGTGTACTATACTTTTTCTACGATTATTTTCATTTATAAAAATAAAAATTAAATTAACACTATATTTACACTGACAGATTAATAATTTTTAATCTGTCAAAATAACGTCTGTTAATTCGTTTTCATGGTAACTCGATCAACTGACCCACGAGGCTTATGTGATATTACACATTTTTATAAAACTGAAGCGTAATTTTTTTTTATTACGTGCTAGTCATTACGTGTCAGTATCTGTTATGATGCATTTACTTAGCATCCAAATAGTAGGTAATATACAATTTACTAGTAAGAGAGTAGAAAAACAAAATTACGCTTTAATTCTATAAAAAATGTGTAATATCACATAAGCCTTGTAAGTCAGTTTGTCGCGTTACCATGGAAACCAATTAACAAAACGTTATTTTGACAGTATAAATTATTAATCTGTCAGTGTAAATATAGTCGAAATTTAAATACAGATAAATAAAATGAGTTTATCGAATAGTGAAGATGAATTTAGTAGCATATCACCCGATATTATGCAGTTAGCTGCGAACACTAACGAGAACCTATTATCAGAAAAATCTAGAGGAAGATATGAAAAGGTATATGAGCAATTTATGGATTGGCGTACAACAAATAATGTAAATTCATTTTCTGAAAACGTACTCTTAGCTTATTTTGGAGAAATCGCTAAGAAATTTAAACTATCATCATTATGGGCAATATATTCTATGCTAAGAAGTGTTATACCTTTGAAAATAATGTTGATATTGAAAATACCCGAAATTGCGAGCTTATCTAACAAGGCAATCAGAAGAGTTTAAAAACAAAAAATCTAAAATTTTACATGCTGATGAAATAAAACTTTTTTTAAATGGAGCTCCTGGTGTGTAGTACTTGTTAATAAAGATATCTTATTTAAAAGTATACCATAAATGTGCCTACTTATAATACTTTTATTTAAAGGATATTGTAATTATTGGAATATGTAGAGCTTGTAGGAAACAAGAGTTAAAAAATCAAAATACTCGCTTGTAATAAGCTTCTTGCAACTCTCGTTATGTAGTTGTTATTTATATGTGATAATATACTATAATTTCTCATTTGCCGCTAAATGAGATTAGTTTCGGCCCGTCCATATTTGGCGTTATAAACTCTTTCCCAAACCTTTCTATGGGACTTACCTTCCTAGAGGGCTATGTACTCTGGTTGCAATCGAGGACCTATAGAGATACTTTCTCTTGGGACGTCTTGGATTATGTTCTTTAACATTGGACATTTCATATTTATGTTTGCTATAATTAACCCTTAAGTGGTGACCATGCGTCTCACAGACTTCGCACGTTTATTAACGCGTCTGCGATTCTCGCCACAAATACGTAGCAAGCTGTAATTCGGTGTACCTTCCTAGCTTTTAGAGTATATTGGAACGTGTTAATGAGAGGTATCTACCTCGCTCATCCCGTTTTCGAAATATTTACGTCGCGGAGTCTACTAGACGCAAGGTCACCATTACTATTATTTTAATATGGATAGTTCTCGTAAAGCTGTAAGAGTATTAGACGATGATTTCGAAGAAGTATGGTATAATGAGGCGAACAGTGACATTAGTGATGATGATGTGGAATAAGGATATTATATAGAAAGTTCATTTTACGGACAGTGAACAAGAACTAAGTGAAAATAAATAGTAACGAGACTCAGAAATGATATCTAGCGAAGATGAAGAAGAGTGTGTTAATTCCAGCAATTATTACTCTGGAAAGAATAGGTATAAGTGGAGTAAAAAGGAGCCAACTAGAAACGTCCGTATGCCTGCTCACAATATTGTCGTACTTCCATCAATCCGTTATAAAGTAGAAAAGTCAAGGAGTCCCCTTTATTATTTTAATAAATTGTTTTCACCAGATATGCATAGTCTTGTTGTCAAGAGAACTAACGAAAAACTCGCCACTTTTCGGCCAAAATATCAACAATATAAAAAAGACAAATCCGAGTTGGCTGATATTGATGAAATAGAATTGAGAGCTTTTTGACGATACTTCGGACCGAAAACAAAGAGCAAGGGATAATTCAGCTGCTGCTGTCCAAGAATTCTTTAATTTATCTGTAAGCAATTCAAAAGATGCATATACGGTTGGGAAAAATGTGTGTAAACGAAATTATGGTAGGCTTCAAAGGCAGATGTCGCTTTATTTATTATTATTATTATTATTTAAATCTATATTCTCAGCAAACCCTGTAAATATGGAATAAAAATCTTATGTATGACTGATGCACGAACTGGGTATTTACATAATAGAAATGTACCTGGCGACAACTGGTTTAGTTCAATTGATTTAGTACATCATCTACAACAACATAAACTGACTTACGTTGGCACAATGCGAAGAAATTGTAACGAACTATTTTGCTTACCTCAGGGTAAGTACATGGGAGTAGAAGATTGGGGACAGAAACTACTGGGGCAGAGATAGGGCAAACAAAATAATCGAAACTGATGCGTACGGCACTCAGAGGGTTGTTGGAGAGCTGGGTCGTGGATAAGTTGAATAAAATTGGTCGGATTGGGGTATCTACAAAATGAAAACAAAGGGATACTTGGAGACTCCGACTTTGCTCAAACTGGAGACATATCTGTGGTAAAATGGAGAGATAGAGGGAAAAAATGTGTGGTAGTGATCAGCAATATGCATAATCCTGTTGAAAAAGGAACTGTAAAGCGTACTAATAAAGCTGGAGTACGGGAAGAAATTGAATGCCCAAAAGCAGTTTCTGATTACAATCGGTTTATGGGAGGCGTCGACAGATTCGATCAGATGCTTTCTTGCTATGATATCTCTTGGAAATCCAGAAAATGGTGGATGAAACTACTGTAGTACATCCTAAATGCTACAGTTATATATTGTATAATCTTGGAATGAAAAGGAATTTTCGCAAACCTATGTCGCATTTGGCATACCGCAGCTTTTTTGCCAATGAGCTGATAAATCATTTTTCGAGTAGAAAACGAAGGGGTCCTGTAGCGACAATATTTCGTAAAATAAACAAGATTGAAGGACGAAAGGTGTCTACTGATCCTGTAGTTAGAAGTTCGATAGTTGTGAACATTTACCTGTAAAAGGCAACTCTCGGCGATGTGCTTTCTCTAGCACAGAGAACCAAAAGCGATCTCACGATATGCAAAAAATGTGATGTTGCCCTTTGTTTGGAATGTTTTACACCTTTCCATTTCCATTTGTAATTGTCTCTTATAATAATTGCCTTTTGAATAAAACTTTGTCTAAAGT